GCTGGACAGTAATTTATTTTTATTTCCGATGACTCCAGAGACAAAAAAGTCTGACTTGTCTCAGGGTCATCCCTGCCGAACAGGCAGAATTTGAGCTGCCTGGCTTCCTGGCTTTGGATCAAATAAGGAATTTACTAGGCAGATCTTGAAATAAAATAGCCAATTCTATCAGGCTGGAGGGCATGAACCAAATTCCTTTGGGAAATATGAAGCTGAATGAAAGTGCCCTTTTCTTGTGAGTAAATGTGCTCAGCCTTCAGGATCTACAAGTAAAACAATTTTAAGAGGTCACGCCAAGGTCACCTTTAAAGCATCCGGTCTGTATTCACTCAATTTAGAAGTCACACTTGCTCTTTCATCACCTTAAACATCTCCAGAATAGTACATCTCTTTGTTTATTTCTCTAGTTTACTATATGATGGTTTTGTGAGAGAAAAACCTGCGGTGTCAGAGAAAGATCATGGACCCGGGTTCAAATCTTGCTTTTGTCTATACCAAGGTTTTTTTATTTTTTGTATCCCCGGTATTTAGCATAGTGCCTGTCACATAGTAAGCGCTTTATCAATGTTTGTTGCCTGACTGACTCTGTGCCTCTCATGGAAGCACTCTCTGAGCTGCAGATTCCACATCCATACAGTGAAGGAGTTGGATTCAGTAAGGTCCCTTCCAGCCCTGAATCTACGCTGCTGGGGCCTGTGACCGAAAATCATTTTCTTCATTTTCTGGGAGGTTGGCTGATCATTGGTTTGCAACATTGCAATGTTGACTCAAGGGGCGTCACGTCAACATGAAAGAGGCCTTCAAAGCAACTTTGTAGGATGAATTCAGTTAGGGAGAGGTCGGGGAGAGACCTTGGAGAAGGGTCTTAGATCTCAGCTCGGGCCCTGGAGGGGGAGATACCCTGGGATAGCCTGTGGCAAAAAGACAGAGGTTCAAGACAGACCACAAGCCAGATGCCAAGGTGTGGAACGAGGTGGGACCAGACCAAAGAAGATGGTCATCTCATAGCTTCCTAGAGTTACTAGGATACTCTTTTCTGCTCGATAAAAATCAGAGCTGTTTCTACCTGCTAAAGGAGTTTGAGTACTGTTACTGGTATTAGCTAGGTGGTTCAGTGGCTAGAGTGTTGGATTTGGAGTCAGGAAGACTCATCTTCCTGAGTTCAAATCCAGCCTCAGACACTTCCTAGCTGTGTGATCCTCGGCAAGTCACTTAACCCTGTTTGCCTCAGTTTCCTCATCTGTCAAATGAGCTGGAGAAGGCAATGGCAAGCCTAAGGAAAACCCAAATGCAGTCATAGAGAGTTGGACACGAATAAAATGACCTGGGTTTGAGTCTTGCCTCTGTTTGACCTTGGGCAAATCATCTCATTTCTCTGGATCTTAATTCCCTCCTCTGTATAATGAGGGGTTTAGGCAAGATGGTAGCTGGGGTCCTTGCCAGCTCTAAATCTATGACGCTACATTTGGACACTTGGCAGGCTGAGCCGGCCTCTGACCAGAAGGGCTTAGAACTCCCCCCAAGCTGCCTGGCTCCCAGGGCTTTCCATCTGAATAAAGACCCTGCTGGCAAGCCAGCCAAAGCGGGGCTGTGAACTTAGTTTGTTTTGTTTTTTATATTTTGTTAACTATATTTCAATATCATTGGTTTCCTTTGTAATTTTGTGCGTTGGATTTGATTCATTTAAAAACATGATTCTAGTGGATAGAGCTCTGGCCTTGGAGTCATGAGGACCTGAGTTGAAATCCGGTCTCAGACACTTCATACTTGTCACTTAGCCCCCAATTGCTTCACCAAAAAGCAAAAAACAAAAAACAAAAAAACCCCACGATTCTGAGAAGGGGTCCACAGACTTCCCAGATATGGCCAAAGATGTCCAAGACACAAGGAAGGTCAATAATCCCTGGTCTAATGTAAAGACCAAACCTAGAGTGAATAACCAGTTGAAAAGTCCAATGGTTTCAGGAAAACTTGCTTAACTAGACACCTAAAGGTGCTCTGTACCCAGAAACTTCTCCATCAGACTTGGAGTCAAGAAGATCTGAGTATAGATGTGGCCTCAGACACCTGCTAGCTGTGTGATCCTTGGCAAGTCATTTAACTCTGTTTGCCTCAGTTTCTTCATCTGTAAAATGAGCTAGAGAAGGAAATGGCCAATCCCTCCAGTATCTTTGCCAAGAAAACATGGGGATGTGACTGAAGATGCTAAAACCCTGCCAAGGTTTTGCAATATTGTTTCAAGCCTCTGAGATGAATTTGCATTTTTATGAAGATGAAGGCTGAAATGTAAGTCCCCACAAAACCTAAAACATTTGTAATCTTACGGTTGAAAAAAGAATTGTAATATTTCTTTGTAACTTCATTGTTGTTCAGTCGTAACTCTCTGTGACCCCGTTTGGGGTTTTCTTAGCAAAGATACTATGGCATTTTGCCATTTTCTTCTCTAGCCCATTTTACAGATGGTGCAAATAGAGTTAAGTGACTTGCCCAGGATCATACAGCTAGTAAGTGTCTGAGGCTGGATTTGAATTCAGGTCTTCCAGACTCCAGGCTCAGCATTCTATTCACTGCACCACGTAGAGGCCTATTTACCCTCTCCTTCCAGCAGGCTTTTAGAGAATTAGGGGGACCTACATGTAGGTTTGCTTAGTGATGAAAGAGCAGGCCTTGGAGTCAGAAAGACTTGAATTTAAGTTCTGCCTCTGACACTCACGAGCTTTGTGACCCTGAGTTTGCCTTCTTTGTGCTCTGACAGCTCCCTATTATTCTAAATGTTCTTCACTGGCAGAGAGAGAGAGAGACAGAGAGAGAGAGAGAGAGTTAGTTTCCACATTAGGAGTTCCTGACCTACACTGATAGAATTGTAGGTATAGATAGGAAAAAAAAAAGCCAAATACTAAAGCTATTTCTGGTGAGCTAGGACTGGCATGAGCTGTTGCTGAGGGAGGGGCTTGTAGGGGGAATAGAAGATTCCAGAAAGAATGCTGGGCATGTAGTCATAACACGTGCAAGGAGAGTGTGCCAGGGTTCAGTGTACACAAGGGGAGTTCGGAGGCAGCTGCCTATAGTGATCAGTCAGTCAATATTTAAGGAGCACCTACTGTGTGCTGCTCCTTGGGCTAGGTGCTGGGGAGAGCTGAGTTTGGTTGAAACACAGCCTCTGTCCCCATGGAGCTCACAGGCCTGTAGGGAGAGGAGACATGGGTAGCCCTATAATGGAATCATCATTTGTTCATTTGATCTATGTAAAAGAATGGGCTGGTCAGCACCGTAGCTCCATCTATTGAAGGCCCAGAAAAGAAGGTTTTTAGTACCTAAGTCCTTGGCACTGACAAAATGGTTCAACCTCAGAAATTGATACAATTTTATCCTTGGAAATGGCATTAAAGAAGAGGCCATACCATCTGCCTTGCAACTGAAACCCTCCATATTTTATGTCATACCCATTAGAATGTGAGCCCCTTGAGGGCAGGGACTGCCCTGTTTGTATCCCCAGCAGTCAGCACAGTGTTCTGCACACAGTAAGCACTTAATAAATGCTTAATTCATTCATTCATTCAAGGTTATTATTAATTGGTGGAGTGGAATCAAGGAAGGATTCTTGCAGGAGGAGGTTGGAGCTCAGAGCATCACATAATTATAGATTGCAAGCTGGAAGGGACCTTAGAAGACACATCCAATGGCTTCATTTATATAGGAGGAAACTGTGGTAAACAGGTTAAGTGACTGGCCCAAGGTTACACAACTAATACGTGTCTGAGGCAGGATTCCAACCCAGTCTTCCAGACCTCGAGTCTGGTGCTCTCTCTACTGCCCTGCTCTGTGTCTCATAAATGGCAGCACATCCTTCGAAGTGGAATCATATCACTGACCTAATGATTTATTATTTCAAAGGAAGTCTGGGAAGGTTGCAAAGCATATCTGTGCCATGTCCAAAGATGCACCCAAACATCATAGAACCCACTCCAGGGTCTTGTCTGAACCCCACCCCCATTCTCTCTCCTCATTCATGCGAACGGTTGAGTTCCCCATCCCCAGCTAACTTTGCCCAAGTCTTTCCTACTCAAGGGGATTGTGGGAGATTAGTGGCTCCTCCCAGAGACAGGGAAACCAATTTCTCCCCTGCTGGAGCTGGGGTGCTTCCATTTCTTAAGCCTGCCCCAGCCTCCATCCCTCCCTCTCACCTTAGCCACCTTCTTCTGGTCAGGAGTCACCTTACATCTGGATGATGAATGTACAGGACTCATCTGCAACCCTCTGTGAAGCATCCAGGGGATATGTGCCATAACATGGGAAGTCAGAAGACCTGAGTTTGAATTTTCCCATTGTTACCTGCTAACTGTGACACTGGGCAAGTGACTTTAACCTGTCTGGGTCTCAGTCTACTCTTCTGTAAAATGAGGGGGTTGCATTCGACGTCCCCTAAGATTCCTTCTAGCTCTAAACCCCTGATGCTAAATAGAATTGTGAACTGCAGGAGCCAGAACCTCGTCCCTTCAGCCAATGTGCTGTCTCTTCCCTTCCTGGCCCATCTTGTGGGCTGCCAAGCTTAGCCCTGAGCGTTGGATAACAGTCAGGATTCAAGAGATCTTGCCAGGAGAGCCGCTCATCAATTGATCCACAAGCATTTAAGCACTAGTCATCCAACTACAACAATGAGACGGTGCCTGGCCTCAGGGCGCTTACAGTCTACCACAAAGACACCACAAGAAGGCACAATATGCCTCTGGGTTTGGATATCCGTGTGTCTAGGAGTGGGGAGATGTGTTCTGCAGTGTGTAAATATGTGTAGGAATGTGTGCCTTCCCTTGGACGTGGGTGCTTGTGAATAGGTGCTTGGTGATCCGCCCTGGTAGGCTCCCAGCCCTGCAAACAAGCCAGCTTCAGGGTGAGCGGCGGCAGCGGCAGCAGCAGCAGCAGCAGCAGCAGCAGCAGCAGCAGCCGCCCAGCACCGAGGGTTGGGTTTCCCTATCACCTCCTGGGGGTGCTATCCCTCTCTGTCACTCTCACTCTGACTGGCTGACTGAGTTGCAAGTGATCAGTCACTCAGAGAGGTTTCCTGCAAGCCAGGACAGCTGTCCCGGCCGCTGTCAGCTAAGTTCTCGGGCTGCTGTGGCTCAGGGTCCCGTGTGTGGGAGGCTCCGTCCGGACAGTCCTTCTCACTCCCCTCCGGAGGGAAGCCCACTTTCAAGTCCCCCAAGATGGATTTGCATCCAGGGTTTGCCCTTGGACACTGGGGTCCCCTGCTCCTTGCTCTCTTCCTGGCTTCCTCCAGAGGTAAGCTCCCGATCTTTTTCTTGTCCCCATCACGAAAGAGGAAACCACCCTGGGCTCCTCCTCAGAGCCGAGGACAGCTGTGAATGACGAGGCCGGAGGGAGAGGACCAGCTTGGGGCCGCCCTTTCCCTGGAGCGGGGTCTCAATCCCATTTCTCCTGAATCTTTTACCCAATAATAAAGTCTGAGGAAGGCTGAGCCTGCAGTAGTGATGGGCCGGGACAGGGAAATCAGCTGTCAGGCTGGGTGTCGCCTGGCAGGAGGGAGGAAGCTCTGGGTCTCGGCTTTGTAGGGTGGGGTTTGGAGTTTTGTTTTGGTTTGTTTTGCCCAAACCAAGGACAAGATGTTGACAACCTGAAGAGAAACCTTGTTATTGCGAGTTTGGGAAGAAGGGGGTTTACATATTTAACCCTTTTCGGTCTGCAGTGGTGAACCTTGCTGTAAGTGGGCAGGGTCCCTAGAATGTCTGGATGTACCGGCTTGCTTCCGCTGGGGGCAGCTGGAGGGAGGGGTCTCCTTGCCCTGAGGTCCTTTAGTGGGGTAGTCTGATTTTGAGAAGCGTCGCAGCAGGAACACAGACCATCTGTACATTGTCAGGGCGGTTTGGTCTGCAAACCCCTAGCTGCTACTTGGGATTCCTGTTACTCTGAAGGAATATTCTCTGGGGCTGAGTCCCACCATGAGGATACTTCTGGCTGGGGGGGGGGTGGTGCCTGCCTGAAATGAGGACGGAAGTTCTGGGGGTCCAAGCATTACTTGGGTGTGGAAAGACAGGGAAGGAGACCGGGGGAGCTGTGCCTACTTTGTCTCTGTTGTGAGGGAGGTCAGTAACTCACATTTAGGAGGGGAGGGCAGAGGGACAGCACCCCTGGAGACAGCCAACTATGGTGTGGCTCCAGTGATCTCTGTGGGTTCACTAGAAGCAGTGCTCACCCCTCCAGGCCCTTCTTAGTCCAGTTCTCCTTCCCTGCAATGTCAAGCCCTTTATATGTGGCCGGAGTGCTGGGCCCAGGGCCTGGGGGGGGGGGCGGGGAAGAGGCCCTTGGAAGGTGGGATTTCAGCTCCTATTTCCTTTGCATCTCCCCCCTTATCTGACAGCTCACTTATACGCACACAGGCACTGCCCACAGAGAGTGAAGTTAGGTGGGGACCAGCTAACCCTATGAGGAGTGTCCCTAGTCACCAAACCTTTTGTGTGATGGGTGAGGAGCCTCTACTTTCTTGTTAGAGGCCTCACCATCTGGGAGGGACAGAGCCTGCCCTGGCTGCAGGGAGTCCTCCAAGGGCCTCAGAGAGGATCGAAGTCAGACTGGCTGGATTTGAGGGAAGGGAGCAGGGCTGTAGAGAAAGTATGTAGGGAGGCTGGGTACAACCTCAGAAATGGCCTCACATACTCCACTCTGAAGGCAGCCTCTTATCTTTGTCCTGAGGAGCCCCAGGCTCTGGGGGCCTCTGATAAACTGAGTGTTAGGGCCCGGGAGAGCAGGGAGAGGCAGAAGGGTAAGGCTGGCAAAGGGGGGAGGCTGCAGCCCACTGACCCAGGGCCCAAGGAGGGAGGGAACAGGATACCCTGCTCCAGGTGACAGCCGGTGAGTGAGTGCTGAGGAAACGAGAGGGAAAGGGAAGAGGCAACGAGCCTCCATACCAAAGGGACTGAGAAATTGTGTTTAGGGAGTGCTGGACGCTTGGGAGAGAGAGTGGGGAGGGCGAGAGGAAAAGGGAAAGGGAGAGAGACAGAGACAGGGAGAGAGGGAAGGAGAGAGAAGAGAAAGAAGGGAAGGGAGGGAGGGAGGAGAGAGAAGGGAAGGGGAGAGGGAGAGGGGGAGGGGAAAGAGGAAAAGAAAAGGGAAAGGTAGAGAGACAGAGAAGGAGAGAGGGAAGGAGAAAGAAGGGAAGGGAGGGAGAAGAGATAGAAAGGGAGGGAGGGAGAGGAAGAGAGAGGAAGGAAGGAGGAGGGGGAGAGAGATGGGGGAGGGGAGGGGAAAGGGGAGAGATGAAGGGGGAGGGAGAGAGAGAGAGAGAGAGTTTTTACTTTTGGGTGCTCTACAGTTACAAAAGCACTTTCCCATTCAATATTCATCTAAATCTCACAACAATACTGTGAAGTAGACACTGCAGGCTTCACTATCCCCATTTTACAGATGAGGAAACTGAGGCTTATGGGGTTTAAAAGATTTGGCTGAAGACCATGCAGTGAATAAGAAGAGCTGAGACTAGACCAGGCCAAACTCCGAGTCCAATGCATTTTGCAAATAATAAAAATGTTCCTTTAAGGTTCACAAAGCTGTTTATACATCTTACCTCATCTGATCCTCACAACAACCCTGACAGGGTGCTACTCTTATCTCCACTTTAAAGATGAGGAAATGGAGGTTGAGAGAGGTTTAAACTTCTCCCCCACTGTCACACCAATAGTGTCTGTGGTAGCATTTGAACTTGGCTCTTCCTGACTCACAGCCCAGGATGCTAACCATTGTGCCACCCAACAGTAATCATCCCCCTCTTCTCTCCCTAAAAGGATGCCACTGGGTGTTTCTTATTCATTCCAGGACACCAAGCTGGGTCATTCTACACTGCGGCCTTGCCCTCACTCTACAGCTGGGGAGACTGAGGTGCAGAAAGACCAATCAGATGAACTTGAACAATGCTTAGCCTGGAGAAGACCAAGATTAGGGCTGCGGCAGGGAGCTCCAATGTCAGACTCAGTCCTGCAGAACAGGAAGGAGTTCCTCACTGGGAGTTCCTGAAGGGCCCAGTGTGAGGCATTTCTAGTCCTTAGCTGCTCTCCAATGACACTAGTTAGGGATGCATGATGGAGTTTGAGCTGTGCTGGTGGTCATGGTGGTGTGGGTGAGGACCCTCCACTCTCCTGAAATCATAGGCTCTTGATGTATTTGGAAGAGAGATCAGAGCAAAGAAAGACTTCCTGATGATTAGAGCTGTCTGCAAGTTGGCTGGGCTGCCTTGCTCCCTTCACTGGAGACTTTCCTCTGGAGGGCAGAGGTCCTATTCAGGAAGGGCTAGACCAGCTTGAGCTCTGTTTCAATTTTAAGATTTGGGGCCCAGGCTCAGGGCCACAGGCTTCTTACTCATGTCATGGAGGGCTGCATTTCGAGTCAGACGACCTGGATCTGAATCCTGGTTCAGCTCCTTCTTACCTGTGTAACCCTGGTTAGTGACTTCCTGCCTCTGGGCTCTATTCTCCCCATCTGTAAAATGGGGAGGACTGAATAGGTGATTTCTGTATTCCTTTCCTATTTGAAAGCCTGTGATTCCATGATCTTCGTAGGGCTGAGCGATTTGGATGACCCTTTGAATCCAGCTGTGCGCAGAGAGAATTAGGAGAGTTCCTAATTAGGATAGAATTAGGTTAGGATAGTTTCTAAGCCAGAGGCTCTTCCCTTAGCAGAGTCAAGAACTCTGAATTTTCACTCTGTCAGAGTCCCCTCCAACAGATCCTAATACTAGGAAACTCAAGAAGCTTCTAGTGTCTTATGGTCTTGGCTTAAATAGCCTTGGCCTCCTGGGTTACACAAACCTTCCTATCGTCTGAGGGTCTATGGGGATGGCTAAATGCCCAAAGGTCCTAGAATGAGCCAGGGTCTGAGGGAAGCAACCCTAGTTTGGGAGTTGGGACACTGGGATTCTGTTCCCAGCTCTGCTGCTAATTTGTGTCATTAGGAAAATAACCAAATATCCTTGAGTCTCTGCTGTCTCATCTATAAAATGGGGCTAATACCTCATACTACACTGTGACTATTAAATAAAGAGATAGAAAAATGCTCTGAAAAATATACAGCACTGTGCAGGTATGATGGGGGGCCATTAAGTGCTTTTTCTTAGGTTATGGGTTCAATACAGTTCAGTTCAATAAGCATATATTAAGCACCTACTGTATTCAGAGCACTATGGTGCTGTGGATACAAAGATAGAAATGAAGACAGTCCCTGCCCTCAAGAAGCTTACATTCACTTGACAGATAATCCATGGTACCAATTGCTGCGGGGAGGAGAAGGGCAATTTATTTTTCTTTTTTGTGAGGTAGCTGCCCTGAGAAGGGCAATTTCTACCAGGTCACTGGTCTCGAAAGATGCTGGCATGAGGCACAGCCGGAGGCTGAACTCTGCTGGGAGGGCCTAGCTGAGAGTGCCAAGGCCACGATCATTTTGAATGCTGATGAGCTCAAGGTGAAGACCCTTGAGGCTGGTGGCTGGGTCTGGTGCATGATGAACACGGAGGTCCTGATGGTTGGTCAAGGACTTGGGACATGTTGGGGGAGCCTCTTTCATTCTCTGAGATGGCAGAACTGTATAATCTGTATCAAACTGCTTGCCAGGGGCAGCTAGGTGGCATGGTGGATAGAACTCTGGCCTTGGAGTCAGGAGGACCTGGGTTCAAATTCGGCCTCAGATACTTGATACTTACTAGCTGTGTGACCCTGGGCAAGTCACTTAACCCTGATTTCCTCAGCAAAAAAAAAAAAAAAATTAAAAAAAAACCCTGCTTGCCTTCTCAATGGGGGTGGCGTAGGGAGAGAATTTGGAACTCAAAAGTTTTAAAAATGAATGTTAAAAATTGTTTTTACATATAACTGGGGAAAATTTTAAAAATATTTGAGATGGCAGAACCATGCTGGGAAGAAGGTGACCACCCTGTGGGGTATGGCTGGGGAGGATATACCAAAGATGTAGGAGGAAGCTCCATGGATAGAATGCTGGACCTGGAGTCAGAAAGACCTGAGTTCAAATCCTGCCTCAGACACTTATTTGCTGTGTGAAGCTGGGCAAATAACACCTCTTTCAGTCTCAATTTCCTCATCTATAAAATGGGGATAAAAATAGCACCTACTTCCCAGGGTTATTGTGATGTAAAATGAGATAATATTTGTAAAGTACTTTGCAAACCATTAAGTGCTATACAAATGGGAGCTATTATCTATTATTTATGACGCCTGAAGCTCTTTCCCAGACCAAGAAGGGTGGGCAGAGGGGGGTTGGTTCAG